AAAGACGGAACTTCCAAAAAATAAAAAGATGAAGGGAATGGTAAAAAAGGAAGTCGAAAGGAAAATGCAAGAGGACCGATTTATTCCAGAACACTTATGGATTGTAGGACGCCCCAATAATAGAAGCTCATCTGCAATGAACGCACACCACAGATCAGTGAAGGCGGCGACAGGGCCAAGAAGATGCCAGCGTGGCCTAACAAGCAGAGTCAAGGAAGCTATTAAAGGCAGGAAGGCTCCCTTCAGAAAACAGAAGCCTTGTCCAAATGAAGAGAACATGGATTTTGGCAACAGGAACGCAACGAGACAATAAAGGAAGCAAATAAAGAATTTGAGGATCACTCCGAGTGCTCCCCTGGTTCTTTCGTTGCAGCTTTTGCAAAGCCAGTTTGAGTTCAAGTCATCTCTCCCAAGGAAAAATGTTCCTTTGCAGCACAGCTTGAGCTTCATCTGGGCTGCAAACGAAGATCTTAGTTGAAAGTGGGGCTTAGATTCAGTCGGCCGATCAGCACCTACTGCAAGCCTTGCTTTCAGCAGGGATCAGCTGTGCTTGGGAGCTGTGCTTGTACTGTTCAGGCAACTCCCAAGTACTGCTGGTTCCACCAGGAACCAGCACTGGTCAACTCTGCTTTTGGCAGGGACCTGCCAATTCTAGTTTCTCTCCATTTCCCATTTAAATTTAGCTCTCTACGTTTCCGTATCAGTTTGCAATTTTTTAAATATAAAAAAGTCTTCATAATTTCTCCTAATATATACATGCTTGTGGGCAATTTTGTCTGAGATACACATTTTTTTCATATATATATATTTATGTCCACTTTGCCCATTATATACATTTTATATACATTTTATATACATTATAAACATTTTTGTACACATTGCTTGGCCAGAGAACTATGTTGCAAAATTTGAAAAAAGAGAGAGGTGAATTTTGAAGGATTGCCGTGTTTTGTGTATTGTTTCAGAAAGTGTGAATGTGTACAAAAATGCGTGTACAAGGCTAAAAATGCATACAGTGCATACTTTAGCATGAAAGCAACACACAAAATTGTGTTATATGCGGGGAAATTGCTTGGGAAATTGTGGACGTTAGAGGTAATTACATAGAAAATGGTGACGGTTAGAAGATCCCAATTAAATGCCGATGAATTCCCACAAGGACTTTAAAAATAAATAAATCACAAACTGATGTAGAAATGTGCAGAAATCAATGTAAAACTGGGGAAACGAGAAACTAGATTCATCCATCCCCAGCCTTGACACAAACAGATGAAAGTCCCTGGCCTGCTGCACAGCTTGTAGGTAGCAGAAACCAGCTGAATGTTGTTTTTAACTTTGGAACTGGATGAAAGACCCACAGAGCTCTATAAGGAGAGAGAGAGAGACTCAAGTTGCTTTCAAGTCTTAACTTTTATCCTCCTGGCTTCCCTTCTTTTAAGACTGGTAGAGGTGGACCCTTCCTCCCCCCAATCTCTGTCTCTCTCTCTCTCTGCCTGACCATCCTTTGCACGCGTTGCCAAGCAACACTCGGACTCTTCCTTCTTCCCCTCAGGTTCCGGAGAATCTGGAATTGGATTCTCTCTGGCTCCTCCTGAGCTCCTTGAACCCAGACAGAGGCTTGCTTGTTCTTTTCAGTACATTTTCCTTGCCCTAATTACCGTCTCCTGTCACATTCTCCCTGCCTTTAATTAGGGCTATGCAACAACAGCAGCATGGTTGAGGAGCTGCATTTTGGAGAGGAGGTATATTTTTCTCTCCCCCCTCCCACCATCTCATTCCTGTCCCCTCTATCTACCTCCGTCTTTTATTAATTAGTTTCGAAGTCTGAGATGCTTTTCCAGAATCAGGATCTTGGTGCGGATAAGCCCCCTGTTTCAATAAGATGTAGAACCCCAGCCCCACAACACAACATACTGATGTAGAAACATATGAAGAGCCTTGTCGAGGTAGACAAAAAAGACCTATCTTCTCAAGTATCCTGTTTTCAAAAGTGGCCAGTAGGATGCCTCTGGGAAGCTCACAAGTGGAACATGGAGGGCATTCCCCAGTTGTTTCTCCCTTTCCAACATCTGGTATGTTGCCCACACACATGGAAGTTCCATTTAATTCCTGCTTCTGCTGTTTTGATTTTGTAGGATTTTATACATTTGCTGTTGCAGTGGTGGTGGGGGGTTGGCTGGCATTCTTTTCATAGCATGTTGCCTTGAGAGATTTTAATGAAGAGGGATGTAGGGGGGGAATCCAAAATTTAAAGGGAACTGGGAGTCCAACAACATCTGGAGGGCTCGCTGGTTGTCCACTATCACCATATCTTATGGAAGCATATTCCATAAGTTACGGTCCAAGTGAATTCTAGTGTTGTATGTGGGAGAGGAGAGGAGAGGGGGGAAATCTAGCTACCATGGAAGGACAGACAGAACTGCAACTAGTCTTCTAGATGCAGGTCATATAGCCCAACCCTCTGCAATGCAGGAATCACAGCCGAAGATTCCCTGACAGGTGAGCACCTAATCTCTGTTTAAATACCTCCAAGAAAGCAGAGTTCGCCTCCTTCTGTTCCATTTCGAACAGCTTTTTCTGTCCAAAAGTTCTTCCTAACCTTTAGTCTGAATCTGCTTTCTTGCAATTGGAATCCATTGGCTACCCTCTGCAGCAGCAGCAAACAAGCTAGTTCCATATCTTCCATGTGACAGCCCTTCAGATAATGGTCACATACACAGAGGAGCGGTAAAACTTTACTGGGACACCCCTTTGTTGTTTTTTTCTGGTGATGAATCTGGTGGCTGCCCCTCACCTGTTCTGGCTATAGGAATCCAATGCTTGTGAGGAAGCTTGGACTGAATCCCCAGCCTTGTTTGCAGCCCTGGGACCTTCTCCTCAAAGGGAATCATCATCTGCTCGTTTACATACCGCTCGCTTGCCAAAATGGCTTCTAAGCGATTGACAAGGATGAAATCAATTTTGGGGGGTCTCCACGCAAAATTAAAAGTGTACAATAAAACGCGAAGCAGAAGGAGCATGAAGGAAAACAGGGGGTGATGTGCCCTTTTCTTGCTGAGGATGCTGGGATGAGCACTCCCAATCAAGATGTTCTACTAGGATATGGTGACAGGAGCGGGTCAGCAATAAATCACACAGAGCAAGTTAAGGTATCTCCATAGTGGAAGAAACAAGGAGTGTCAGGCCTAATGAGCACAGGAACTCTTCTCAGTAGGTCTTGCCCCCTATGAGGCAGCTATGGAAACTAAAGGTCATTGCCTTCTCACAGCTGCCTAAGTCTCCTCCTTCCCTGGATTGTTTTCAAGCAATCTGAGACTGTGCCTTCATGCATATCTCTGTTCCTCCATCTTCATGCCTCTCCTGGTCCTGGGACACCAGTGGTGAGGGAAGCTTGTTGCAGCAGAAGCGGGGCAGACAACCTGGCTTCCTCTCCAGCCTGACTCATCTCTGCATCTTGGCCTCCCTCCTCTCCTGCTTCTGCTTCTGGACTCCTATCTGCCACAGACTCTCCCAGCTCACTAAGCCCTGTTACCTTTTCAGCTTCTGACACCACCTCCTCCCAGTCTTCTTCCTCTGACCACTCATCGTCATCCCACCACCAATCCCCAGGCTTCTTCCCTTAGGGGAGGGAGAGGAAGGTTCCTCCAGCTCATAAGATGACATGTGAAAAAACTCAGCTTATAAACACTGCCCACTCACTCATGTGTCTGGTTTTCTATCTGCTATACCAGCGGCACATAGCGGCTGAAAAGGCTTAATTATTGACAGCATCAGGCACAGGGCAAAAGGGAAGGCTCAAGAGTGAGATTCTGCCTTGCTCGCTGCCTTTACCTAGAAAACTAGTTATCTCTTCTTTTCATCCACCCCCTTGAAAATCTAGGGTTGTCTCCAACGTTAGTCCTACTCAGAGCAGACCCATCAAAATTAACAAACATTATTATTTATTCTTATCAGTAGTATATACTGCCTTTCTTTTGCCGAGCGGGACCCAAGGTGGCTTTTGCAAATGAAAACAACGCAGATAAAATAAAAACTAAAAGGTAATTGTTAAAAAGTAATCAAACTCTAATAGAATTAAAGCAATTTTTAAAAACCTCTTAAAACACAGACAACAAAAACAGCATAGTACTATTAAAAGCCGTTTCCTTAAAAAACAAACAAGCCAGTTCCTAAAGGCCTGTTGGAATAAAAGAGTCTTCATCTGCCTGCAGAAGAAAAAAAAAGGAGGGAGCCAGTCTGGCTTCTCTAGGAAGGGAGTTCCAGAGTCTAAGAGCAGCCACCGAGAAGGCCCTGTCACACGTCCCCACCAAGCATGCCTGTGAGGGGAGCAGGACTGAGAGAAGGGCATCTCCTGAGATATGATCTTTCCCACTGCATAGCCTGGGCCCAAGCTGTATGGGGCTTTATAGGCCATAACCAACACTTTGAATTGTGCCCGGAAACAGACCGGTAGCAAGTGGAGCTGCTGTAATAAGGGGGTCATATAGTAAACTTGGTTCCCTTAGGTCCCTTCGTTTCCATGGGTCTGCTCTGAATAAAACTTAGTTGGATACAACCCATGACTTAATTACTTCAGACTGCAAATAAGACATTGCAGTCTTAACAATAACTATTGACCTATTACATGGTTTTTCAAAGCAAATTCTGCACCCTTGCTTATGGTTTGATTGCGGGTAGGTGGCCTTACGACCACAGGAGCGCGCATGTGCAAGAGCACACGCGTGTGGACAGGCGAGAGACCTCTCACCCTAATTCAGTGGTGTGGTTCCTACCAGAGAGCATTCCCCATGAGGTTTAAGACGCAACCCCAATTTAGAGAAGTCTGGTTTTAGCAAAACAGGTGAAATTTTCCTTTCTGCCATTGCTCTGCCCATCCCACAAAAAAAGCAGTAGAGCAATGTGGTTTTAAAGAGTTCTCAAGTCACCAAATTAGAATCTTACCAAATGTTCCTCAATGGAAAGGGGCAAATTTCCCCGTCTCAAGGCCCGTGATTACTCACCTTACCACATATCTCATTGATAGCTACGTGAACAAAGATGGACGCCTCCTCCATGCCTTCCAGGTAGACATGCCGATAGCCTGAAAAGCAAGGGAAGTAGGTAAAGCACACATCCCAGCTAGTTCCTCCGGGGCCTGGATAGCGCAGTTAGTTAGAGCGTGGTGCTGGTAATGCCAAGTTTGCAGGTTCAATTCCCACATGGGACAGTTGCACATTCCTGCATTGTAGGGGGTTGGACTAGATGACCACCAGGGTCTCTTCCAACTCTATGATTTTATGAAGTCTCAGAAGTCCAGAGAACTGGGAGTTGAGATCAGAATCCCCTCCCCCCCATACACACCCAGAAAAACAGGGGAAACCGTTGGAGAAATATGAAGGAAAATAGGAAATGGAAGCAATGAAGGTAGGAAGAGGATTCCGTGGAAAAGATCTCTGGAACTCACCATGGATTTACTTGGAAATTACCATAGGTGAGCCAAAATTTCTCAGAAGACATTTTTCCCCCAAGAAAGTTTCTGGGATCTCTCTCTTTCTCACCCTCACCCCACACCTAGAGAAAGGCCTCTTTGAAGAATCTTCTCTGAATCTTTTCCACCTTTTGGGGTGGGGTGGTGGCTGCTGTCCTTGGTCAAAATGCCCCAGAACAATGCCATGTCTGGGATCATTGTGGAGGATGCAGAATGTAACGTCAATATGCAGTTTGCTGGCATTGGTACTTGCAGCAGGAGCAAAAAATAAAAATATGTTGCGAGTGAGCTCCCAACTCAAGAAACAGTTGGAGAATTTATCCTGCCCTAGAAAAAATCAGTAAAATAGGGCCTGCCCGTCCCCTGCCTACATATCTCTGCCCATAAATATTTATTAATTCACTTTAAAGCCTTTATAAACCATGTAATATTAAAAATAGCCTCTTAATACAATGAAGTGGTAGGTGCAAGATAGAGAAAATCTGTAATAATGTAATGGGGTCAGGGAAATCCTGGGTGGAGCATGTTAAGAGGCTACTGAGAGGCAGCAACAGAAATTATGAAAACTCCCCCCCAACCCTCAATATTTTTTTTCTCCTAAGAGGCTCAGCAAAATTACTGCTGCCCATCCTCACTTTCCCTCCTCTTCCCTAAAAGCCATTCTCATCAGCCCCCAACCCCCCAACAATATAATCCTCATTTCCTTTTTCCTGCCTTCAAGCTGCAGCAGCTGTGGGAGCAACAGCAGGGATGAGCTGGCAGGATGTAGTGGATAACAGCATGCTAAAAGAAGTTTAGCCCCCCTCCACCTCCTATGGTCTCCCCAGGTGTGCTGTTTCCCAGAGTGAATGCAGAAAAGGAGAAATAAAACTCTCTTTTCTGCTCCTCTCGCCACAACCTGAGGAAAGAGGAAACATGCTGGGAGCTCTAGTGGTGATGGCTTTGGGGGACAGGGAAGAATGAAATGATCAAGGGAGCGGGCTTGGAATTCTTCTCTGGTTCATATCTGGATCTGAGCCAGAGAAGAATATGAAGGCATTAAAAGCTTGTGTCCTACCTGAAGCAAGGTTGTTTTTTAAAGAGCCCTTGCTCCAAATTTTGGGTTCGAGCCAGCTCAGAACACCACCCCTGCTATTTCTAAGTGAGGGTTTGGTGAGGAATATGAAGAGGCGAACAATGGAAGACCAAGAAGGGCCCATAAGCTACACACACACACCTCACAGGGTCAGGTGCCAACAGGGAGTGAGGAGGAAGGAAATAAGTTGGCAAAACAGTTTGGGTCTGCCAAAGGAGGGGCTGCTTCATGGGTAGCCTTGCACCCAGAAGGTCCAAGTCTCCACACCATTCTCCAACATTACTCCTGGCCATCCTACAATCAGGAACATAGAATGCAGAGACCTACTAGGGACACTGGCAGACTGCTAATTGCTCCAAGAGTGATCCCAGTGCAACCAGTTGTTGAAACAAGCAGAGAGAGTTTTCTGAGAATACTGCTGGGAGAATTTCACTTCTGGCCTCACGTATTTTCAGTAAAGTCCTTCCGTGCCACCGCCCGTAAATTGCACGGAGTATTTAGAGAGGTTGTTTTTAGCTCCGCCCTACTTCCACTCACCCAAATGTTTATTTCGGCTCATTAAAAAAACTCGCTACCACCTACAGCTTGCCTGGGAAGAGGCCCATTTGCAGGAGTTCGGAGCCATACCCCCAGCCCCCACCCCGGTCATCAAATAACACTATTCCTCTTTTATTATTGCAGCTGTCAATCCTGGAATTCCTAATTGATTCCCTTCTCCGCTGTGAACAGTTATTAATGTAATAATCAGAAATGTCTCTCATTCATTCTCTCTTTTATTTTTCTCCTTTTTAAAAGCCAGATGGATTCCTTCCTCCTCTCTCTCTCTCTCAAAAAAACTTTTCCCTTGCCAAGTTTCCTCTGCTTTGAAGAAGATGGAGAACAAGAAGGGGGGGGATCAGAACAACAACACAGGGTGCTTTTATCTGAATTGGGAAGGCAGAAAAAAGGAGAGGAGGGAGGAAATGGGTGAGGGTTTGAAGGAAGGGGGGACTGTGTTAAAAGCCTCTGAATTTTGCAGATACTCAGCCATCAGGCTGCTTTAACATTATAGTCGGTAATTGCAGCCACTGGTGCTCGGCCAACAAAAATGAGAGCAGAGAAAGAGACCCTGGTTTCTTTCAAGAAAGGCTTTGAAGTTTACCCCATTGACTAAGAAATCCCTCCTATCAAGCTGGAGTTGTACAAATTAGGAGCTGGCAGATATAACCACCAAGTCACAATGTGCCCATCATTCTGATTAGTGGTGGGTGGGAGGGAAGGCAGGGAGAGGAACCAGACAATTACACAAACACATAATTGGGGTGGGGGGCTCAAAAGAAGCCAGTCCCCTCCCAGTATCTTCCAGTACCATGCTTTAATTTTTCCTCTCTCAAAGAAATGGCTGGGAGCTATTCAGGTATACGGTAGGTGAAGGTGTGTACTGGAGCTAACTCTGTCCCAGATTATTCCAGTTTATCAAAAGGAGCTGATTTTCTTCTTTCTTTCTTTCTTTACCCCAGAGGGGAGGAGCTTTTCTCAGCACAAGGGCCACATTCCCTGTTGGATAGCCTTCTGAAGGCTGCATGCCAGTGCTGGGTGTGGCCAAGGGTAAAAGTGGACGAGGCAACAGATCTGACTTTCTACCTTCGTACAATAGGCTGTATTCTAAGAATGCACAAAAATCTGTAGTGCCTACACATGCACACACACACACACACACACACACACACACACACACACCAGCAAGCATCAGGCACTATTACCATTCAAGGCCAGTGAGGAATGTGCCCAGGACAGTGGGCATGGTCTTGGAGATAGTCCCGAGGAACAGACAGAGAGCCCTGGATGATGGCATTTGGCTCCCCAAACCTGAGGTTCCCTACCTCTGCTTGACCCAGCAAACTTGCCCAATGTCCTACAGACCTGAATGGGAGCTGCTGTGGACCAATGATGTTCTTATTTCCATCACTTGTCACCTGTGCGACCACACAGTAGCCAAATTCTCAGGCTTGTGTCTCAAGTCCAGAATAAACCCCACTGAAATGAGTGGACCCAAGTTCATGTCCATTTAACTTCAGCAGGTTGACGTCGACTAGGGCTAACAATTGCATACAACCCCTGGGATCTGGATTTCACATGGAGGCATTGAAGATGCCAACCCTCTTCAGATGGGTTACTCTCCGTAGCAGAGGAATGGATTGGGCAACACACATAAGCACCACTGGGATAAAGAGGAGCCTCAGCTATTGATGGCTCCGGTGACGGCTGTGCTAATTGAGACTGATGGGGTAGAAGGCAGGGATGCCAACAGTAGGTGGAGCCAGAGCCAACCATTTCTGCTTTGGTCCCCTTCCTTTTCCTCCCAGCTGAGTACTACAAGACTGAGACCAAGGAGGAGGCACCTGACAGCCAGGACCACCCTCTGGAATTATTGCAAAAAGGCAGGCAGGTGGGGGAGGGCTGAAGTTAGCAAGGCAATGCACTGCTTGCCCTAATAGACCAGCATCTACTAAATGGCTCGTCAGTTCTCTCAAAGAAAAGAGCTGCCACCTTCTATGGAGAGCCAGTGTGGCGTAGGGGTTAGAGTATTGGACTAGCACCTGGGAGGCCAGGGTTCAAATCCCTACTCAGCCATGAAGTGACCTAGGGCCAGTCACAATCTCTCAGCCTAATCTACCTCAGAGGGTTGTTGAGAGGACCAAATGTAGACCACCTTGAGTTCCTTGGAAGAAAAGGTGGTATATAGACGAAATAAATAAACAAGTAACCTGGCATCATGCTTGTAAACGATATTGTCCTCTGTCCGATGAAATCCCTCCCGATTGGGTCATGATCCCACACCAAGAACCGAATCAGGGCGATTTCTGGCATGCAAATAGGGAACACCAGAGTTTCTTCCCACATTGGATTGAAACCTGCAAAGGGAAATAAAGAGGCGGGGGACAGCAAGAGAGTTTCATTATGGCTGAATCCTAGAGGAGAGCTGGTTCACAGTGGCCTATGGATGAAATGGTTTTCCCTGTGCATGCTGCAAGTTCACCCATGATTTGTGGCCCTTTGTGGACCAATCTAAGATCCTTCCTTTACTAAGGTCTCTCTCAACTCTAAAAGGATGCGTTTCTAAAAGCATAACAGTCTGGTCCCTGCTGCAATGAACTTACAATCTCACTTTTGACAATAAGGAGAAGATAACAGGAAGTGGTGTTGGAAGGAAGTGGCCTTTACTGGGAGATTTTTCCCTAGGCTTAAAGCTACAGGGCTGAACTGATGTTTCAGAGAAATATGGTGGGAGATTAGCAGCCAAACCTAGTAATTGCATATTCTTGCTAGTTAGCATGAGAAGGGTCTATGTGTCCACAGAGCTGTATTGCTGACAGGCAGATACTCGGGCCATAGAAATACAATTGGTAGAGAGGGCTCTGTGTGATGTCATTTCCTCTCCCCTGAGCATATAGTGCTTCCTGTTCCTCTCCCTTCTGCCATGAGGGCAGATGAGCCCTGTGCTTTCTCCAGTCCCAGACACATGCCTAAGACTAGCTATACTGGAAATATAAATATTCTGCCTCTATAGTTTTTGCGTCTACCATTGTGAACCAATGCATGATTATACACTAAGTCAATCTTATTTTTAAACTTACTTTGCAAGCTGTTGCCTGGTTCTTTATTAAATGGGGTAAGAAGGGGGAAGCCAGTTTACTTCATAGCTGGACTTGCTCAAAAGAAGGCTTGCAGCCTAATTCCTATGTTTAATTTTTGTGGCCAAGGGATGGATTTTAAAACCGTCCAACCCATAAGTGGGTGCCTAAAGAGATAAACTGCAATCAACATATCCTCTCCTACCTATTAAAACTCATCCCACAATGCTGACTTCACACCACACACACAAGCAATTCTTGTTTCCAGTCACCCTCGTGGGTGCAAGCAACTTCAGCGTAACTTTGCTCTCACGTGCTGAGAATATATCAGAGACCGTGGATCATGTAGAGGGGAGAGAAAAGAGTGAGGAGAAGGAAGCCGTACCATTGTCATCCACGACTCTTGTCTGCTCTTTACAGCAGTCCACAGGCAATCCGATTACTTCCACTTCCACAAATGGATCTATTATCTGGGGAAAGGGGGAGAAGAGTAGGCAATTACCATCAAAATGCTGGGATAAAACAGAACAAGCCACCCTGAAAAGCTTGACTGCAATGTTCTACTCTGGAATCCTTGTTTCAATCTAGACCAGGGGTCTGCAACCTGCGGCTCCGGAGCCGCATGTGGCTCTTTTACACCTTACACCGGGGCGGATACTAGCAAGGGGAGGAGGCGCATTGTGCGCCCCGACACTCCCCACTGTGGCGGGCGCTGTACTGGCTGTGACGTCGCATGGGGGCGGTGCGTGCGTTAGTCACGCACCGTCCCGACGTCACCTTCCCGCCCGCTGTCAGATCAGAGGGCAGCGGCGCGCATGCTTTAAATGTCGCGATGGTTTTGCGGCTCCCAGGGTTTTTTTTCTTTGGAAACGGGTCCAAGTGGCTCTTTTTGTCTTAAAGGTTGCAGACCCCTGATCTAGACATTGGAGATCCAGTGTTCTGCGCCACTGCGCTATGGCCTTTCCCTGAATTCAGGGGGACTTACTTCAGAGTAGACATAGTCACGATTGCAGCCTATGGTCCCAGCTGCACCATATATTTAAAGGAGCACCATACTACTTTAAACCGCCATGGTTTCCTCACGCAGAATTCTGGAAATTGCCATTTGTTAAGGGTGCTAAATGTTATAAGGAGAACCTTCCTTATTTTGTTGTGATTAAAAACAACATCAGAGAAAGTACAAACAGTTTTCAATGCTGAATTTTAATTTGTTGCGATCCAAACTCAGACCTTCACCCTCAGGGTGAATAAATAATAATAATGTCCCCACAGAGATACAATTCTTAAAAGTTCCCTGGGTAGAGGAATTGATTGCTAAAACACTCTGGGAACTGTAGCTCTGTGAGGGGGCTCCTAACAACTCTCAGCACCCTTAACAAACTACAGTTCCCAAGGTTTGCGAGGGGCATGACAGTTTATGATACTGCTTTAGATGTATGTATGCGGATGGGGCCTTAGTTCTGATTTCAGCCTAAATTCAGATAAAGGCTTCCCTGTGAAACCTGTTCCACAGCTATGGCGGTGCCCTGGGAACGGGGAAAGGCCTACCCTTAGCGCAAAACACACACATGCCTCATTCCAGATCTAAATAAATGTGAAGTATGTGCAGCTGAACTCTCAAATACAAGGAAGTGGACATCACGAAGGAATCAAAATTCAGAAAAAATTGAGCATTGAGCCTGTATTTTGTACTCAGGCATCCTGCACCCAATGTCAAGTCAAAAGCATCCAACCCTCTCAGAATGGATACTTGAAGTTGCTTTTCTATTGAGAAACCAACTAACAACCGGAGAGACGAGGGAGAGGAGAGGACCCACATAGTTGACTTCCCCCTCCACCCTTTGCACCCAGTGAAAAAAGTGTAAAGGCCAATACTGCCTCCCCCTGTACTGGGGGTTTGACACTATGCAAACAGATACCAAGAGGTGCACTAATGAAGCCCCATCCATCTTGGCTGACAAACCCAGCAGCTTTATAAATATTTACAGTGAGTTCTGGGTTTAAACTTGGCTCTCCTTTGGAGGTGTTTCCCAACCCGTCCCCCCCCCAAACCCCTTTTCTTCCCTGTGAAGTGGCATGAATAGGGCTCCTGCCACATTGATTGAGCATCTTGGCAGCGCTCAGCCATCTCCCCAAAGGCACTCTGTGGACAAGAAAGCAAAGTCGGCCCCTCTTTGCACAAAGAGAAAAGGCTGAGCACCTGCTAGTCTCAGGGGGGAAGAAACGTGTTGCATAATTTGTCCCAAAAAAAACAAAAAAAGGAGGCCGCAGGAAGTATCCACCCCCCACTCCGCCCCAGTCCAAACCCGTAATCAGAAAGGACTGCAAAGATAAAAGCCCGGGCCCATTTTAAGAACTCTGCAAACAATTCATTACACACATGCATATGCATAAAGAGTATACATACATACATACATACATACATACATACATACATACATGTTCTCGCAAAAAAACCCATCAGTGTTTTAGTGTGAATTTCTCATAATACACACATTCTTTTCAAAGCAATTTCCCCTAATATAATGCATTTTTTTTTTGTTTATCATTTCCACTAATACATGCATTTATATGCACACTCTACTCTCAACATATGTGGGTTTGCACATGTTACTTGCCTGGAGAACTGCATTACAAAATTAGCAGAAGGGCAAATTCCAAAGGATGGTTGTGTTTCAGTCTGAGCATTGTTTCATAGAATCATAGAACTGTAGAGTTGGAAGAGACCCGCAGGGTCATCTGGCCTGACGCTCTGCAACTAAAGTATTTCTGACAAGTGGCCACCCCACCTCTGTTTAGAAACTTCCAATGAAAGAGAGCCTGCCACTTTCCGAAGCAGTCCATCCCACTGTCAAACAGCTCTTACCACCAGAAAGTTCTCCCCAGTGTTTCAGAAAGTGCCATTTATGTAAGTTTGCCTTTAAGTCTCAACTAGGGCCAGGGCCTTTTCAGTACTGGCCCCGACTTGGTGGAACGCTCTGTCACAAGAGACTAGGGCCCTGAGGGACTTGACATCTTTCCTCAGGGCCTGCAAGACAGAGCTGTTCCGCCTGGCCTTTGGTTTGGACTCCGTCTGACCCTTATGTTTCCCCTCCCCTCGGCTGGGAAAGGGAAAAGAGGGCGGTCCCCGGGCGTGCCTGGCCTTAAATGGGCTAGGCCCCACCTCCCCGGCCCGCCGATTGGCGGACGGGGTGGAAGGCACGCCCGGGGATTCCCTGTCCACGCAGGGGAAGATCCCGCCCCCGCGTGTGTGGGTGGAGGGTTTAGCACGCAACCCCCTCTCCTCCCAGGAGGAAATGGCTTTGTTTCCCCCCCCCTATTATGTTTTTATTGTAATTTTACTGGTGTTAGAGCCCAGCTCTGGCCAGGAAGGGCGGGCTATAAATAAATTTATTATTATTATTATTATTATTATTATTATTATTATTATTATTGAGAATCGAATTGAAATTCTTGCTCATTGTCACCTGTGATTGTCTTTTCCCACTTAACAATCCCACCTAACTTAGCAGTACTGGAGGCTAGGCTTAAGTAAAGGCAAGTTGTAAAAGCGAGTGGAGCTGTGGCAGTCACTGGCACCAAGATTCTGCCTACAGCAATTGGTCCTGACAGCTGCTGCCAGAGAGCTCTCAGCACACAGTGGCTGCGTTGCAAGCAGATGTTGCTGTGCTCTCCCCAGATCTCTCCGCACCTCTCTCTCCAGGTCCATACCTCTCCTCTGTCTCCCAGCATGGAGTCCTTGGGCTTGGGAAGCTGCTGCCCGCTGATGATTCGCAACACGAGCTGCTTCTTCATCTGGCCAAGCAGTGGGTCTTCGGAATTTGGGTTGAAGATCCCTGAGAAAGGTTCGCAGAACATACGCAGAGATTTAAGGCAGAGCTAAGTTGTTTGCAAAATGTGCAATACGTGCATCAACTTCAGACATGCTGATCCATTGGCATAGGAAGCTCCCTTAATACTGAGCCAGACCGTTGTCTACTCTGCAAACGGAAACTCTCCCAACTGCGCTCATTTTGAAACGGCATTGATCTGTTTAGGTTTTGCTGGAATTCCCAAGCAGTGCTGCTGCAAATGAGGCTTGTTAGTCTAGAATGTGAAAATCAAACAGATACGATTCCTTCTTCTGGGGAGTGGGCAGCGGAGAGAAAGAAAAAGTCAATCAATCAGTCTTTATTATTGCGGTCACAGATTGGCTACTAAATTACAAACACAAAATGCCGTTTACAGGCCAGCAAAAGGCGAGAAAGAAGCTGCCTTGTTAGGCAGTAAATTCGAAGTTAATGACACAGACTAATTCTTCCAAGCCTGTGATGAGATACAGGGATAACAAGAAGTGCACATCTCTCGTTTTGTAGAAACACAGGCAGCGGCAGAGAGGACAAGAGGCTTGTCAGCAGAGCCAAGACAGCAATGATTTCATTAATTTAATCAGAGCCCAGCGGCTTGCAGACAACCAAGACAATGAAGCACAGTGTGAAGGCAATGCCAATGGCTCAGCCCTGTTCAAAATGCCTGCTTCGGCTGCCATGTGCAGGAGAGCAGATAACGGGTCTTAAGTAGGTGAAGAAAGACACAGATCCATCACAGGTGAGCCACAAAGCAAGGGAAGGCTCAGTGTGAACGAGGAACAGAGCACAATCCGGATTGAAGGGGTTTTGAAAGCCTGCAGGGTAGAGCATCTGTTCTGCATACAGAAGCCCCTGGGTTCAATTCCTAGCATACCCAGCTAGACTGGGGAATGTCCCATGCCCAAAACCTTGGAGATCTGTTGCTGGCCAGGGGAAACTGCACAGGTATAGATGAGCCAATGGTCTGACTCCATTAGTTAGCTTTAGGAACATGGGCATCTGCTCACATTTATCCTTCCTTATCTTTGTGAAAGGGCTGCAGCTCAGTGTTAGAGTTTCTGCATTGCATGCAGGAGGTCTCAAGTTCAGAACCTGGAATCTCCAGCTAGAGCGGGAATTGGCCCTGGTCTGAGACCCGGAAGAGCCTCTGCCAGTCAGTGCAGACAGTACTAAGGTAGCTGGATCAATGGTCTGACTCTGCAGAAGGCAGATTCCTATCTTCCTATCTTATTAGGACGTGCCATCTCAGACAGTGAAACTTTATGTTTGCAAATTTCTTTTCGGAATCAATTTTTTTTATAAAATTAAACTTTAAAATCTTTACATATATATTCTAGATTCCAAATTTGTTATACATTTCTCTTTAAACATTGACTTCTCGCCTTTGACTCCATTTTTATTTTGTTTTTTGCAAATTTCTTCAGTGAGGGGGTCTTTAAAATATGTTCCTTGATGTGAGGAATCAAATCTGGACAACACTGAAGCTTGGGAAACCTACGTTTGATGAAGAGGCACATAAACTGCTTCTGGAAAACTAATTTTTAATTTTACCTTCTGAAAATAATCATAATAAATAAGCAATATTAATATATAATGTAACAGGGGTCGGCAAACTATGGGCTGCGGGCCGGATCCGGCCCAATTGCCCTCAGGATCCAGCCCGTGGACGGTCTGTAGATCGGTGTGGGGATTCTGTTCTTTAATTTTTTTGGCCACAGAATGCTAAATGTCAGTTGAACCTCTGGGGGTAGGTAAGAAAATGGGGGGGGTCCTTGGGGACAGCGTGGTTGACTAGCTACAACCCTGAACAGGCACACTCCTGTTTAAAAGGTGAAAATGCACTGCAACATTTTGCTGCAGCGCACGCTTGTAATAACAGTACCATCATTAGTTAAAGCTGAGATCTGCATTCCCCTTACCTTGACACATACACTTGGGTTTGAGGACGTAGCCACAGTTTCCATTGGCACTGAACTTGGCTCGGTTCAACTGAAGCATTCTCCCCTCTGACTGGTAGTTTAGAGCAACTGCAATATTTGGAAGGGTGGAGAGAGAGAGAGAGAGAGAGAGAGAGAGAGAGAGAGAGAGAGAGAGAGAGGTGTGATAAATTGCTGAACACATTTCTAAAAGCAAAGCTGTCAGAGCAAAATGAGATAGAGCCACGTTTGAAGGCGAAAGCGACTGGATAGACTTCTTGATGCCACGGATCCAGGCAGAAGAAAGAAAACTGAGAGCGAGTAAATATATCTAGATATACATATATATTATTTTGTGCAATATCCCTGATGTGAAGAGTTGTGGTGTTCAGCTACTTTTCTCACTTTTGAGAGATGGAGCTGAATCAGCACGCTGCACGGAAAGGGGCAGAAGAAAGCAGAGGAGACGGAATATGCTAAAGCATGCAAATTTGCAAAGGAGTGATAGGCCGCCCAATTAATAAAGTTTTGGCTGCAATGGTAAAATTAACATCTTATCTGAGAGCAAGCATTGCAAGCAAATATAGAAATAAACTCAGAAAGTACTTAATTCAATATTGCCAAGGAAATAATTACCTCCCATGAAAGCAAGTTCAAGTAGGTTTTAACGGGTTCCTATTTTTAGCGGAAATGTTGTAATTTTATGCTAAGACCTATTTTCCTGCAGAAGGCTATGATCTGGGGGGAATTCTGCACCAGACCCAAGGGCTGCCCTGCATGTAGAGCGGTACAGTAATCCAGGCTCGAGGTTACAAATACATGGACTGCATGCTGTTCCTATTCAGGAATGTCTGCAGTTGGTGAACTAGACAAAGCTGGCAAAAGGCACACACTAGCCCACTTGGGCCTCTAGTGACAAAGATGTATCCAGGAGGATCCACAAGCTACACACTTGCTCCTTCAGAGGGAGTGCAACTCCATCCAGAAGAGGTAACTTTTTTTTGGTCAAAGGTAACTTGCCAATTTCTCAACTTTTCCCTGACCATTTGTCTATGAAAAGCCTGTAGGGTGTTTTTACTACCCCAATCTGCTAACATAGGCTGTGGTAGCAAATGCACCCTAAAGGCAGAATTCAATGTATTCCAGGGTCATTTTATGCTGCAGGCGATTTTGTTTTCGCTTCCAGAAGAAATACTGTGCGTGGCAACTGGCTGAAATTTGGGGACATAGTACAGGTGGCCATTTGTGACCATGTCCTAGAAAGGATACCATGTGGGTCTACTTATGTGTTACTCGCACAATGAAAAGTGCGCCGGGAGAAGTTTTGGCCCCACAAATTGGATGAAGGTTCCGTGGGAAAATAAGCTTCTTCAAAGCAAGTTTCCGCTTTGTTTTAAACACAGCAGGCTTTGTAGGCAAAACAGCATCCAATTGACAGCTTTCCCATCTACCTTCCTCGTTCCTCAAAGCTTTGCCTCTGGCTCCTCCTTACCCAATTGGCACCCAGCATTCCAGAAGGGCTGAGGGTTGTAATTACTGGAGTCCACGCGATAGGAGGAAGGGTAGATTCGTGACAGCTGGTGTTGGTTGAAGCGCAGGTACTGGGCCGGCTTTTGCTGGAGGATCTGGTGAGCTTTCGTTTCGCTGAAAGAGGAGACTTGCCAACTGGAGGAGACTAGAACGAAGGTGGGGAGAGTGCATTGCCTCTTTTAGTTATTTAACAAATACGACCGGCATTCACTGATGTTTCTGCTTTCGGATCACAAGGGACTACATATTTGCATTGCATTTCCTTTACACGAAAATGAATGTGGTGGAGTAACATAACAACAATGTAAATTATACTTGTTACATAATTCTGCCACAGTAGACAGAGATGAATAACATAATTTTGGGTGGAAGATGAGCTGCAGCAGAACAGAAGCAGGGCTGCATGTGATGAATACAGAGTGGAACAGAAACCGAGGCCTTCTTCCCCATCCCTGCTTCTAAACAAAGGTGCACGGGACTGCAGCGTATACCTGCAAGGTTACCCACTGTTTCCCTTCTTATTTTGTCCTTATAGCAGGCCACCTACCTTCAGATTCTACGTCATGGATCCCAACGGATTTAGTGTATTTCACCAGGTCGGAGAGCGCTCGGGATAATTTCATGGTTTTCTTCTGTCGGTTTGTTCTATGGGAACAAAGCACATTGTGCTCGTCAGTTCTGATCCAGGGGGTTTGGGGAATTAAGAGATCAGAAATCCTCAGCAGCGACAAGAAACAAGCAAACAAAGGACTGGAGGAGGAGGCAACGTGTTGTGGGAGTTGGTGAAACAATAGGTACCCATGGAAATAGAACACAAAATGCTGTCATTGTCAAATCAATGTTCTGATTAAACTTTAGCACCAAACAGCACCTGAGACTTTCTGCACACAAAATCATGTGCTCTGTCGCTCAACTACAGGCGCTCATAATGGGTGTTTGAAGAGCTACTATGCACCAATTCAGTTCATCCGGCTCAGTACGGTCTACTCTGACTGGGAATGACCACAAGCAGGTATACTCTGTGTCTGGATTTTTGCAGATGAGACAGTCTGTGTGCATTTGCACAAACCAGTCCACTTCAAACATGGATAGGGATGTTGGAGAAACAGGAATGGAAATTGCCAATATTCGTTCCTTCGCCCTAGGTCCAGAATGGAAATCAATCCCGCAAATACAATCAGTATTTGCTGCTGCTGTTGCTTTCAATCTGCAAACGATATGTAATTGATTATGTCCCCCTGCCCTCCATTTGCGTTGTGTTTCCTTTGTGCTGAAATTAATGGAGTAGTACAAAATAATGGCGACTGGAGGAAATTTAACGTCACAAAGCAATTGTTCTGTCATGGGTAGCATTTGCAGCTTGCTAGATGGATCGATTCCCCCCTCTTCCTGTTCCAGGAGTTCTCCCAATTGCCACCCCAAGCCAATTTTGGGGTGCACATGGCTTCCACTGTTGGGACTCACAAGTTGAACCCCAGTCAATGTAACTTGCATAACCACTCATATAATTCCACCACAGCACACAGCAAGAGAAATAATGTAGTTCTGGGTGGGAGATGAAGTGCAGTGAAAGGGAAAGTGTGCTCCGTGTGGGAAATGCAGGGCAGAAGGAGAAATAATACCTTCTCACATCTCTAGCCATGAAGCACATGCAGGGCCGGCCCTTACATGAGGTAGTTGGCAGATTCTGGGGGAAAGGAACGGTGGTGAGGTGTCGCAGGATAGAGCTGTGTATGCCTAAATTAGCCTGATGCTCTCCAGGATGGTGGAAGTCCATGTCCCATCACCAAGGCTGAAGTAAGAGTCAGCTATCAATCTGGTCAGCTTCTGAATGAGGAAGAGGGTGAGGTGGCCCCATGTTGTCTTTCACCAGAGGCAGCAAAACATCTTGGATAAGCGCTGAGTGAGTAGGTAGGTGGATTATCTGGCCTCCAGAGATTTAATCACAGATTGGAATAAAGAAAAGCATGGTGGAACTCCATCTTGCCCAGATACTTCATCTGGTTGCAGCTCAAGTGACAAAAACACCAACTTTGCATACAGAAAGTCCCAGGTTCAAACCCCCCCCGCCCCGCCAGTATCTTCATGTATGGCTAGGAGTGGGAAAGACCTCTGCCTGAACACTGGGAAGCCACTGACAGTTGGTGTAAACCAGGTTCCCCAAACTTGGGTCTCCTGCTGTTTCTGGACTACAACTCCCATCATCCCTAGCTAGCAAGACCAATGGTCAGGGGTGATGGGAATTGTAGTCCGAAAAACAACTGGAGACCCAAGTTTGGGAAAGGCTAGTGTAAGCAATAGAGAGCTAGATGGACCAATGGTCTGACTCAGGATAAGGCAGCTTTCTGTGTCTTAGCTAAAGGGCTGGAGCTCTGTGGTGGAACATTTGTTGTGCATGCAGAAGGTTCCAAGTCCAGGTCCAGCATCTCCAGGTGGAGCTGGGAAGCACCCTTTTCTTAAACCCTGCCAGTCAGTGTGGACAAAGCTGAGTTAGATGAACCAATGGTCTTTCTCAGTTTAAGGCAGCTTCAGATTTTCCTCCAGACCAGACCAGGCATAGGCAAACTCAGCCCTCCAGATGTTTTGGGACTATTAATTCCCATCATCCCTGACCACTGGTCCTATCAGCTAGGGATGATGGGAGTTGTACTCCCAAAACATCTGGAGGGCTGAGTTTGCCTATGCCTGCTCTAGAACATCCTCCACCCTTCAGGTATGGCAGGAGGATATGGTTAGCTGGTAGTGAGTTAAATGCTCTTTGATCATGTGGAAAGTCATGTTTTACGTTTGATGCTCCAGACATAGCTGTCAAGCATCCCTTATTTGGCGGGACAGTCCCTTATCCCAGCGCCATGTCCCGCTGCTGTCCCTTATTGATGATGTCCCTTAAATAAGCTACTGAAGGTAATGGGGCCCTTTCTATGTCCAGCTGTGCTTTGTCAACAACAAATTGTTGCTGTTTTTTTTGTGTTGAATATATGCTATATGGTAATTTATGGACCTAATAGATATCTAAAGCCATTTGCACACAACAAAATATGTATTTTATCAAAGTAATTGTTGATCCCTTATTTTGGCTGCTGATCCCTTATTTTTGAGGCTGCTGGTCCCTTATTTTCAAATCTGTAAGTTGACAGCTATGGCTCCAGACTTGAGCTCTGGCTCAGAAAATCCTGAGCTCCCCCCCCCCAGGTCTGTATGTTTCAAAAATTATCTGCAGTCACAAGGCCTACAAACATCACACACACACACACACACACACACACACACATATCCCACCCTAAACCCATTCCATTTCACTGTCTCTTTCCCATCCAGTTAGACTTGCTCAAGAAACCAGTCCATTAAGACAAAGTCATTCTGCACATGTATCTGTTCAAAGAAAGGGCATTGCCACTTACTTGCTGTAATGTACCGAGCCTCTGGCTAAGTTCCCTTGACAGTCAAGGTCATCCTCACCCTCTTCCAGACTTGATGCCCTTTTCAGTTTGCTTCCTTTTTTCTGCACCAATTGGGGAGACACATCCAGAGTTAAAGCAAGCCACAGGTGACATTTGCATATATCCATGCAGGCCCAGGTGTGGATACAGAGGCCCATCTTATCAAATGGAAACATACCACAAGAGACTGTGCTTTGGGGGGAGAATATTTCCAATGTGAGTGCCGTTTGCCTACACAGCCATATGGCAACCACCATATCTAAGAGAGAGTCATTGGAAAGCTTGAGGGAGCCCCAAAGTTTGCAGAAGTACAAAAATATTCAGGAGGAAGAGCACCCTGAGAGGAAGATCTCCACCCCACCCTCAAAGCCACCCAATGAGGACTGAGCATGCTTAGTGGGCCTGGAATGCCAACTGGCTGTTGTAGGGAGGGGGTTGGAATGGAGTATCCTGGAAATGGGCATGTCCCAAACCCTGTACAGCAGCACTTCCTCACTACAACATTTTGTGGTAGGTTCCACTTCTTATTTGTAAGAGAGCTGGAAGGCAGTATGATGAAGGCACGATTTCCTCCTAGTGTACACCAGGGGAAGAGGCAGACTTCATGCTTGCGGTATCTACTTTCTGTTTTACTAGTCTAACATGTGTCACCAACTGGAGTGAGGTATAAAAGGCATTCGATTAGAATGAAAGAACAGGGTCCTTGCATTCTGATAGCAAGTTCAAACTAGTACTGGCAACATTGTGGTTCAACTTGAACTTGCAAAGAATCAGTCTTTTGGTGTGTTGAAACTCTTTGCCCATTGATATAAGGCACTGTATTGTTTTCGGAGCCTGTTAAAAACCCCTTTTTTCTTCCAGCAAGCCTATTCAGGCATGTAATTTTAGTGTGGATTTTTGACATCTGATTTTAGTGCATCTATTTTATTTTTTAAAAAATAAGAATATAATTAGTTTATAATATAAATGTTGTCATGTAATTTGCTTTATTGGTATTGTAACTGAATGGCTTAGTGCAAACTATTTAGAGCTATTTTGTTCTGGTATATAAAATTGTGTTGAAGAAAAGAAAAAGAAAAAGGCTGGGGCAGAGATGTGCATTTTCTTCTTATGAAACACTCTAAAACACAGCGCACACTGAAACTGCTGTAACAACGAGCAACAGATAACATTAACAATAACAGTATTTGTGGAGACAATTGACCTAACATTGGCCCTATTTGCATTTCACAGAATCATAGATCAGTTTTGAATCATGGAGTTGGAAGAGCCCTGAGGATCATCTAGTGCAACCCCCCCCCCCCATGCGATGCAGGAATATGCAGCTGTCCCTTACGGGAAGTGAATCTGCAGCCTTGGTGTTATGGGCAGCACACTCTAACCAACTGCTTCCAAAGATTCCTGGCAACTGTGGTTTGCTAATGTTGCTGAGAGTTGTCAGGAGCACCAAGAGTGGTTTAACCCTCCCAGGAAACTGTAGGAATCAGAGCCAGCCCAAGGCATTTTGGCACCTGAAGCAGATTCCCAAAATGCCCCCCGCCCCACCCACCAGGGAAGAAGCGCTGAGGTAATATCTACATCAGGAACAAGGTGGGAAGAAAGCTCAGCATCAGGCTGTGGTGTCTTGTGGATCTTGCTGCCTGAGGCAGTTGCCTCACCTTGCCCCGTGAGTGGGCCAGCCCTACTAGTAACTGTAGCTCTCGGGGGCAGGGATAGGTGTTTCAACTCTCAGCGCCTTCAACAAACTACAGTTCCCAGGATTATTTGGGGGAAGATATGGCTGCTTAGAAGAAGAGTTTGGATTTGATATCCCGCTTTATCACTACCCGAAGGAGTCTCAAAGTGGCTAACATTCTCCTTTCCCTTTCTCCCCCACAACAAACACTCTGTGAGGTGAGTGGGGCTGAGAGACTTCAGAGATGTGTGACTAGCCCAAGGTGCATGTGGAGGAGCGGAGACGTGAACCCGGTTCACCAGATTACAAGTCTACCGCTCTTAACCACTACACCACACTGGCTTAAAGTGATAGGGTACTACACTGCCAGTAGGGTCATAGTTTGTACTAGTTTGTACAACCCCATTGGATGTTTCCATGCAGGTGCCCCCCAAACTTCCCTGCTTTCATGTGGGGCAAATTTCAAAAGGGACAAACAGGGAGCCCAACATGTTCTTTATGTGATCCCTGATTGCCTGGGGGCACTCTGGGAAGAAAAAAAAATGGCACCACAGCAGCACCAAAAAAAAGGGCAACATTTGCGCCTCAAAACCTTTCCCATAAAAATGTAAGCGATTCTCAGGACTTTATCTCCCCTATGGGCAAAAATAAACATGGAGGGGGGAAACACTCAGCACAGCCCTGCTCTTAAATGTAGCTTTTGAGGTCCACATTGGTGTTACTTTCAGAATGTGCATCAGTCTCATGTCACTTTCAATCTAAAGAAAGGGTGCTTAAGAGAAAATGAAGGGTGCAGCCTTGATAACCATGACTGGCTGCATAGCACAGTGACATCATATTCACTATGTGATCCCTTACTGGTTGCCCCTTTCTGTTCTAAATTTTTAAATGGCTTGGATGTTTGAACTTTTGCAGGGAAAGCAGGGTAATTTGTGTCTATTAATATGAATAAATGAATAACCTTGCGCTTGGAAAAACTCCCCATCAGCGATCGGTTGTGGCGTTTGTTGATGACAGCATCCTCCCCGGATTCCACATCCTCCTCATGTTTGTTCTACAATAGCAAAGAAGGACAACATGCAAGACTGTCAATGACGAGACGGACTGACAGGAAGGCAGGTGGACAGCCTGACAGATGCACACAAAATACAACATCCTTGCACAGCATTTCGGACTTTCCGATGATTCCTGGTACCCGAGTACGAAAGTGCCATTTCATTAGGTAGTATGTATCCTACAGAAGGGATGCAGGTGGTGCTGTGGGTTAAACCACAGAGCCTAGGACTTGACAATCAGAAGGTTGGCGGTTCGAATCCCCGCGATAGGGTGAGCTCCCGTTGCTCAGTCCCTGCTCCTGCCAACCTAGCAGTTCGAAAGCACATCAAAGTGCAAGTAGATAAATAGGTACTGCTCCGGCAGGAAGGTAAACGGCGTTTCCGTGCGCTGCTCTGGTTCGCCAGAAGCGGCTTAGTCATGCTGGCCACATGACCCGGAAACTGTACGCTGGCTCCCTTGGCCAATAAAGCGAGATGAGCGCCACAACCCCAGAGTCGGTCACGACTGGACCTAATGGTCAGGGGTCCCTTTACCTTTATCCTACAGAAAGAATACCTCCCTAGTTATCTTTTTATATATATATATTTTTTTTTTGAAAAAAAAAGTAGAATGCTTTTTTATTCTACCTTTCCTTTAGGAAGCTCAGGTCAGCTTATACCAGCTTTTTATCCTCACAACAATCCTGTATGGCAGCAAATGGGCAAAAGCTACAGCGCCTAGCAAACAGCAGAAATTGGTACAAGCACAAATCAGCAGCAAATCTGGATGCTTGCTAGGATAAGCACAAAAGAAGCAGAGACAAAATTTAACGCTAATAACATCACTAATAATATATATATATCACTAATAATGATCAGTACAAACCAAGATTAACAACAATGTCTAAATACTGTTGTCTTTGCTGACATCTGTAGAAAACTCTGGTGGGTTTTTTTGAGTTGCTAATGCAAATATCCTTGCTTGTAACAGTTTTGTTGTGATCTGCCAAGAAATGGGAATTCACGAGGAACCCATGACATTCCAGAAATTTCTGGACTACAATTCCTTCAGTCCCCAACTATTTGGCTATGTTTGCTGGTGGTGGTGATGGGAGTTGGAGTCCAGCAAAAGTTTCCAGAGGGCCACAGGTTCCCGTAAGTCCTGTTTTAAATGTATGTCAGCAAAACCTCTGCAATGCATTTTGCATACAACAGCTTTCCTGAAGCCCCTGGCGGCTGGTTAAAAGCTCTGGGAAAGAGACCAGGAGCACTTATGAGTTGAGCAGTTCTGAGTGTGGCAGGCTTAGTACATCTTTAGAAACAACACATTATGAAATTTACATATACACGAGTCCAGGGGACAGGGGGTGTGGAATTAAAAAAGGAGAGATATTTTCATATGAAACCTCCTGGTTATTAAAAAGTACTTCATTTTATTATGGAAAACAAGATCGCTGGCACTGTGTAAGGGAGGCAGAAATCACCTGTGTGCCTTTTATGCTCTAGTCGCCTCATGCCAGCAACCAATGGAAGCTCCGCGCCTCTCAGAAATCTCACTCACCTGGCCTCCTCATTAACTGTGTGCATTCGGCTATGGAAGCCAGAGTCATTAATAAACAATTTGGAAAGAAAGCTAATAAAAATCCAACAAAGTCAGCTACTAAAGACTGTGTTCTCAGCCCTCCCCATTTCCATTTCTAAAGCTTGCCACGTTGCATTATTCATTTCGGGTGACAGATTATCCCCTGGATGGAATGGGTGCCATTAAAGTGGGGAGGGAGATAAACAACCTGGTGCTAATCAAAACATCATTATTGAAGATACAGAGAGAGAAAGAGCTCTACCCTAAATGGACATCAGTGGGAAGAAATGTGTTCCTGCATCTTCATAAACAATGAAAAGAGCTAAGAGGAAATCAGTACGAGATGAGGCATTACTCAGCTGTTCTGCCTTGTTAACAATTGCCACCAGAATCAGGCCAGGGAATAATACTAGCAAGCCTGCTTCAGATTGACCCAGGGAGCAGGCAGGGTCCATTCCTAGGAGGCCTAGCTGAAGGAAAGCCTACACACAAGGACTACACAGCAAAAGGAGCTGCATTACATAAAATGAAAAGAATAAATCTGCCACGCAAGTAGCCACCCTCTTAAGGATGGTAGCCCATATGTTTTAGCCTTCAGGGCCAGGATAGCTACTCATCCCTCCCTGTCTCTCAGAGTGGAAATTAACTGGAGGCCAGTTACCGTATTTATTTATGACATTTATTTCTCACCTTTCCCTCCAAGAAGTCCAGGGCAGCATACATAGTCTCTCTCCTCCCCTATTCTTATCCTACTCAGGCAGAGAAACAGTGACTGTCCTAAGTATCATGTCTGAGTGGAGATTGGGACCTGGGTCTCCCTAATCCTAGCCAGACACTCTAACAACTACGCTTTCCAAGGCAAGGAGAAGGTATCATCTTCTCTTGAATGTGGCCCATGACCCTAAGAGATTCCACCTCTCTCTTTCTGCAGGGGGAAAGAGAGCTTAAACACTAATTTAAACACTAACGCTTTGGAATCCAACTAATGAGATGTGCCAGCTTTATTGGGTCTCTGATCTAGCTACTACACACCGGTATCCCAACTTGCAACCTTACACCCAGTTGCTTGGGAGCCCAGGCCATTTAAAAACAGCACTCAGTATCCCTAGGAAATGTTTCGGAAGATTTGCATCAATTAAGTTCATGTGATTGGGCAGAGGGGACACTCTAAAACAGGAATAGGGAACCAGTGACCCTCCAGATGTTTGCTGGACTGCAATGGCCACCATCATCCTTGAGCATCAGCCCCGCTGGCTGGAACTGATGGAAGCAAAAGCATCACCTGGAGGACCAGCTTTCGTAGCCCTGCTTTAAAAGGACAGCAAGTTTCCATCGTTATAATTGATAGACTAAGCAACTAGAGCTTTAGTTGATTCATAGGAAGGGGACAATTTTCATCACGGAGAGGAAATTTCTCATGTAAATTAAAGGCAGCAAATTAAGGGCATGTTTTGGGAGGGGGTTGGAGTACTGAGTGCCAGTGTGGTGCTGTGCATAAGTCGGAAGAACAGCCTTTGGCAACCTGACAAGCCGTTTTGCACTACAGCCAAATTAGTTTTCTGCTAAACATTTGTCTCCCGGCATTCCTTGGATGCAAAAGGTGAATATGACCTGGCTGCCTTTCACCAAGTCTGTGTGGAACTCTGCTGGCCAGTTGTAGTGTTAAGAGATGCAGTTCTTTTGCAACTCTAATGTAGATTTGTTTTTTGCATATGCAGGTCACCCCAGTGTGTGGCTCCTGGTGTGCGGTAGGCAATTGATTCTGCGCATGACACAATGGTAGGTTTCTTAACAACCCAGGCGGATGACTTCAGCTTCTATCCCCAACATCTTGTATTAAGGCTGGGAGTGTTCCCAAACTGAAACTATGGAGGAGAGCAGCTGTCCACCAGGGCAGACAATACTTAGCTGGATTGACCAATGGCCTGACCTGGTAAATGGCAGCTTTCTTTGTTTACTTTACCCATCAATTTGCACCTGAGCCACTATTTCAACCTAGAATCTTGGGGTTCTAATTTTGTTTTCAAAAAGTTGCTCATATAAGCCTTTCAATCCCTGGTGTCATGAGCAGACTAGGGATGGGAAGGCTAAGGTGCTGACCTTTAAAGCCCTAAACGGCCTCGGTCCAGTATATCTGAAGGAGTGTCTCCACCCCCATTGTTCTGCCTGGACACTGAGGTCCAGCGCCGAGGGCCTTCTGGCGGTTCCCTCACTGCGAGAAGCGAAGTTACAGGGAACCAGGCAGAGGGCCTTCTCGGTAGTGGCACCCACCCTGTGGAATGCCCTCCCACCAGATGTCAAAGAGAAAAACAACTACCAGATTTTTAGAAGACATCTGAAGGCAGCCCTGTTTAGGGAAGCTTTTAATGTTTAATAGGTTATTGTATTTTAATATTCTGTTGGAAGCCTCCCAGAGTGGCTGGAGAAACCCAGCCAGATGGGCAGGGTATATATAATAAATAATAATAATATAATAATAATATAATAATTATTATTATTATTATTATTATTATTATTAGTGTTCATGCCCCCACAATGCTCATCAGATGACCCCTGGCATTGTTTATTTTTATTTATTGCATTTTGTACCCCACCTTTTTCTCCAAGGTTCTCCTCTTCCCCAGATTATCCTCACAACAACCCTGTGATGTAGGTTAGGCTGAGAGGCAGTGACTGGCCCCAAGGTCACCCAGTGAGCTTCATGGCAGAGTTGGGATTTGAAGCCTGGTCTCCCAAGTCCTAGTCTGGCACTCAGCCCACCACACCAGCTCTGCAGCAAGTGAGCCTAACCTACATCACAGGGATGTTGTGAGGACAAAGGGCAATTTATCTTACAAAGAGCTCTGAAGAGAAAGCATTACCTTGTTCTCCTGGAGCTCAGAGGGAAAGCAGAAGCAAGGGTCAGGTCAGGTCAAGTAGAGCCAAGCCAAGCAAGACCCCAGGGGGCCTGAGGGCTGAGAAAGGGAAGTTGTTGTCCCAGAAAAGCTTAAGAAGGTTGACAGGGCCTTCCCCCCAGTGGCTCCAGCCTGGTTCCCCAGAGATGCTGTCTGACAAGGGCCTATAGCCAACTCTGCAGCCACATGGCCTTGCGTGGCTGTGTAGCTACAGGGGAATCTGAGGATAATGGGAGGCTGGGGTGGTGGAAGAAGAGGTCTGAGAGCTATCTTCCCCCAATTGGATTTACAGAAGGGAACAAGGCAAGGATGTCCATTATCTCTGCTACTTTTCATTCTGGTCCTAGAAGTGTTGCTTAGAGATATTAGGCAAGATGAGAGGATTGTGGCAATAAAGATTTAAAAAGAAACTAAGAGCATATGCTGATGACAATGTTAACTCTGGAAAGGCCATTGCAGGGAGCAGGAACTCTTACGGACAAACTAAATGACTTCGGTTTTAAGACGAACCACCAGAAATTGAAAATTTTAACAAAGAATATGA